TATATATATATATATATCTTGCCACACCTATCATCTATCATAAAATGGAGATGTAATATGGATTTCTCTCCAACGATACTGGAAGGGACAGTGTAGGAAAGAACCACAAGCTGCTAAAGGCAACTTTGGGAAAGAACTTAGTCCAAAAATGCTTTAAATTGGGCTAGAATCTTATGCCCATTAGCCTAATTGAACTGAACTAAAGGACTTTTAATATGTATCCTTTTTCGGAATGGTGTGGCTGTTAGGAAAAGGTTTCTGCTGCAGCCATATGATCCAAGAAAAAGAGGGGATTCCTTTAATTAGTTGCAAGCAAGTGCTGTATTCATGCATCTGCATATTCCAAGGCATCCTTTTCACAATACAATAAAGTATTTCACAGTCCTAACAGACACTTTTGAATTCTCTTCCGTGGAACTATTGCCCTATAGCAGTGATGGCTAATTTTTTTGTTGTTGCATGCTGAAAGCGTGCCTGCACCCATAATGCAATGTATGTGTACTCTTGCTCCTTTGACCCCACGCACTCCCCTGCCCCATGTATAAATGCACATCCCCTGCATGCGCCCCGCCCCTTGCGCATGCGTGGCAGAAGCCCGAAGACCAGCTAGCTGGCAGGAAGTGCGCACACATGTGCAGTGGAGCTGGGCTGGGGCGACGGCTGGCGTGCCTGCAGTGCGTGCCACCTACGTTCGCCATCACGGCCCTATAGTTTATATGCATTTTATATTTTCACTCATGGAAGAATTTTTCCTTTAAAAATAGTAATAAAAATACTTTTGTATAGCTTATGTCATGTTCTAAAAGTAGCATAGCAACTAAAGAGTTCGCAAGAGGACTCTAATTCATTTCCTGGGATCTTCAGTTGAATAGATTTCAAATAGCAAAGCTGAGACCTGTTTAAAGATTATTGTCTGAGACCTGGGAAATCTGCTGTCAGACAGAATAGATCAGCTTTACCTTAACACATACTCTTGATGAGTTGGGGAGGCATTACTCAGAATCCTATGGAAGTTGCAGTCTCTACATCTTAGATTGTACTATTTGGGAAGTTTGAAATAGTCCATATTGACAAGATGGACAAATTGTCTGATCCTAGATAGGGCAGCTTGCTATATTCATAGCTTTAATTTTTCTGAGACAAAATATCACAGCAGCATGGAATCTCAATTAAATACCATTATAGTCTTAGGAACCTGGATCAATCTGACTCCAAATCAATTTACTGAATTCTCTTAAGGTAGGATCTCTGAAATTTGTCAGCTGTAGCTAAAGAGCCACCATTTGTACATATTATGATATTTCTTGAAAATGGTCACCAATATATGGACAATATCAGAAGCATTATATAATAAATGAGGCAATTGAATGTAATACGTGCTGCACTGATATCTGTGGTTTTTTGTTTGGAAGCAAGGGAAAGGCAAAAATATAAAATTTTCTTCCTCAAAGATTCAATTCCATCTTCTTGCTATATGATGTGAAATGTTTCACGGTGAGAACTTGGAGCCCATGGATTGAGTAACAAGCATTTAAGAGCCTTTCACTTCCCTTTGCTATTTGCTCTGCAGAAATTAAAATGACTTTCACTTACATCTCCCATTTAGATTGTGTGTATCCATGAAAGAGAAAGCTTCATCACAGTTGGTACCTTGTTCAGCATAGCTTTTATCCATTGAGTTCACCATCACTGTCATTTCTTGTCGTGTGTTACTCAATGTCTCCTTTCGCTTTTTGGCCAGTTTTCTTAAGAAGGAAACATTAAGGAAAGGAGACGATGCTTCAATAAACAAGAATTCATCATTTTTTATTTCATATAATTTATAAATTCACTTCTGCTAAAAAGCCCCCCCCCCCGGATACACACACACACACACAGACACACACAAACATTTCCACTGTGAATTAATGAAAAAAGGCAATACATACAATTAGAGTAATAAAATACACAATTAAAGAGTTATATGTAGTATATAGAGATGAAGGAAAAATAATGGATGCCTGAAAAAGTTTTATGGATGCCTGAGCACAAGGGTATATCCTTAGGACACTAGGCTTCCTTTGTGTTATTAACTCCTTGGATTCTAAAACTGGACTGGAAAACCTGTTTGGTTTGCCAGCCTGCCTTTGAAGGGCTAGCAAACTGTAAGTCAGCCACTCTAGGAAATCTCTGATATCAGGGTGGGCAATTGAATCCAGACTTTGGCTGAATGTAAGGTCTAAGACAACACGTTCAGACAGTCTTCGACTTACAACCAAAATTGAGACCAAAACTGCTGAGAAATTTGCTAAGTGAGTTTTGTCTCATTCTACGACTTTTCTTGACACATTTCTTAAGTGAATCATTGCATTTGTTAAATTAGTAACACCATTGTTAAGCGAATCTGGCTTTTCCATTGACTTTGCTTGTCAGAATGTCACAAAAAGTCATCACCTGGCCCCGGGACACTGCAACTTTCATAAATATGAACCAGTTGTCAAGGATCCAAATGTAAATCACATGACCATGAGGATGCTGCAACAGTCATAAGTGTGAAAAATGGTCATAAGTCACTTCTTTTCAATGCTGTTGTAACTTTGAACAGCCACTAAATGAACTGTTGTTAAGTTGAAGACTAACTGTATTTAAAAAACCTGAGCGTCTGATTTTGGTGTGATTCCTTGAGAGGCACTGCAATCAGTGTAATCTGTTTTCTGATTGGATGATGCAAAAGTCTGTAAACTGATTATCAGATTCCCTAGGCCTATAAAGATCAGATGTATTAANATTACTTCAAAGTTAAAGAGAGATCTTTGATGCAGCAGAGCTATCTAGCCATCGAGCAAATGATCCTTTATCCTCAAATTAAAGAAAAGAGCAAAGGAATAATTTAAAGGATTTAAAAATAATAAAAGGTAAAAAATTGCAAAGGAATAATTTAAAGGATTTAAAAATAATAAAAGGTAAAAAATTAGCCAAGAATTAAAATAAGAAAGTTTAAAATGGACGACTTAAATTTTAATTTGCTTTAAAAAGTATTTTTAAAACAAGTAAACGAGTAACATCTCTGTGGGAAGGAATTTTATTACTACTAATTGGACACAATGACTAGACAACTTTGCAAAATAAAAGATAAGGGAAATTTGCTAATCACCATCTGATTACAGAATTGTGTAATGAATGGGACTAAAGACTAAAGAAAGGAGGGAGTCACTTTCTTAAATATCTTTTTCCTTTTTCTATTTTCTGTTCTTTTTATTTTTTCATTATATTTATACCTTTTATTTTTGTTTTTATTTTTCATCTTAATCTTATTTTGTATTGCATGTTGCTATTGTTAGTCTTTAGTAAACATTATTTTAAATAGTTATGAACATTCAAATAAGCATGCTTACACTAGTAAGGACATCTGTTAGAATGATTGAAAGGAAAGAATCCTGCTAACTTCTTTTCCTTCTCCTTAAAGAAAATTGACCTCCATTCAAAGAAAAAGAAAGAGATTTTCCAGGACATAGAATATCCCAAGAATCCTATTGCTTAATGTCAAAGGCTCCTAGAGTAGTCACCTTGCACAATGTAGCACCTCCTCCATGGGGCCTAGAAGCAGACCATCATTCCCCTTTATGAAGCTTTATGGAAGGAGCACATGGCTATAGACTAAATTAAAATGATCTTTTCAAACTTTGCATAGAGCTCATGTTTTGTTTGTTGACTTCCATCTGTTAGCTTCTGCAGGAAACAAATTGGAAATAATACATATACCTTTATGTTCCTTACTGTCTTCTCTTCATCATTACATCATTCAATCTAAATGACTTGTCAGGGAATTTATCTGCAATTTTTAAAAAAGCTGGAAGAAGAGCAACATAGCACAGTATGTGTTGTATGGAGTTGACTTACCTCATATTCTTCTTTGAATCCATAGCCTTCTGCACATTTCATCTGAGTGATATGTTGCAATAAATCTGCAACACGAATGGCTGGATGAAGCTGGCCTGTCTGATATGGCACATCTACAGGGTCTCGTTTTTTGTAGGTATGTGACTGGACCAGGCTACTTGTGTCACTTCCGACTGTATGAGTTTCATCTAGGGAAAGAAGATGCAATAAAGTATCGGACTACTTCCAGTTGACATATTAAGTTAACGATACATTTTGAACCTGGCTTTTAACACCATCATCATCTTTCATTGTCTAGGTGGGCTAAATTGTAACTACTGTGTAGTTTATTCATGGAGAGATCACAAGGTATTGGGAAGAGACAGAGGTCTATTAGTTTACAATAAAAATGTGTAGACCATATTTTATTATTTTATTTGCTCATTTACACCTATCAGTAAACTGGGAAATTTATTTTTTTAGGATACTGATTTCTAAATAGTTCAGAAATTTCAGACTGAAACTTCATCAAGTCCTAGTCTAATAAGTAATTAAATATTTACTGGAGGAGGATACTATTTATTATTTTTCACAATATTTCTGGACTCATGTTAGTGGAAAGCAAAATGTTTAAAAATGCATAAAATGATATGGGTTGTTAAGTAAGAGAAAAATGGAAATGGAGATTGGATACATTAGGAAAGAAAATATATAGAATAACTATGAGGAACCTTTTGATTGGAGATAATGCTTGACTGAAATTAGCATGCTGCAAATTTAGATAAATATATGACAAGGTCTATCACATCAAGCATGAAATGTTATATGTCATCTTACATGCAGGGCAACATACAACATGACCCCACTGGACTGATCCAAACGGATGTGAAGCAAATCATCTCCCACCCTCCGCAGCATTGATGGGGCAATGGGAAACTTACCATTTATTGGCACTTTAAAGAAGATACATATCAGGAAAAAAAGAGAAGGAGGAGAAGAAAAAAGGAAACAGGCCATAAGCAACAGTACTACAATAATAATTGCAAGGTATTTTTATGGTTGTAAACCTTCAGTTTAGTTTCCTGTCAGACAAACTGAATATTTTATTAACATAAAGGGCTGAACAACCAGAAAAATGTTCTTTTTCTTTTACTGAATCATGTTGGTGCCTTAATTTAACGTGACAAGAAAAGAACACCCTCAAGTGAGAATGAAATGTTTTTGTTTTTCTCTCATTGTAAAAAATTACCTTCGCAAAGCTATTTATTAAAAATTAAAATAAACAAGTGTATCGCCTTCTAAAATTATGGGCTACTTGTAAATTCTTAAGTAGGGTCATTTTATTACATGGGACAAAAGCAGATTAAATGACAGCCTATATGTGGTTTGCTGACTGGAACATTAAGGCCGGATAGGTGATGCAGGTTTTTACAGACTTGACCTTCTATATGAAAAAAATACCCACTATTGTTTGTGTTTTAATGATCCCTATAAATTTTAAATTATGTGACAAAACAGAGAGACAGATTATGAAATCTTTTGGCTAGAAGAGTTGTGTCTAATGTAACATTTTCTAGATGTTGAATGGCTCTTCTAAGAACTACAGTTCTAACACTTCTGATGGCGACAGAGTGAGAAGATAATATGAGAACAGAACACCCTCACTTAGCACCTCCTTATGGGTCATCAGTATAAAGCTCCTCTCAATATTCATGAACCAGTATTTGTAGTGATTATTTATTACTAACAACAGATTGATAGCCCTGACCCATATTCAAAGAATCCTTTAACTCACTGGGAAAAACTAGAGAGGTATACAGACCTCTGAATATTCACCAGTGGGATACATTATTTATCTATCTATCTTACATTACTAGACTAAATGGTATATGAAAGGTACAGTTGAAAGACATGATTTTCACTGTTCTTATCTAGTAGATCTTAACCTATAGCTCCACAGCAATATAATTTTCAGAGATTGGTTTTAATCCTAACTTCTCTTGTTTTGAACTGGACATATTTGATTTTAATAAAATGTGGCTTTCTCTTTTCTCCATAGTCCATCTTTTAAAAATCAGCTTTTCCTTTGGAATCTGAATTTTGAATGAATTTTAGAAGTTGCATTAAATAAATGGAGGAATTGGTGGAAATTCCCCCTTCATTTGTGAATGAAGAAAGAATTTAAGAATCAAATCATTTCCTTTGTTTCCATGGCAATATAACCTGGGGTCCCAGTCACATTTCAGAAATTATCCAGCCATTCATAAAAACAAAAATATTTTTAGATTCATCTATAAACTCTAATCTCTTAATTAGTACTACACAAATATCTGGAGCCTTTAAATGATGTATAGGAACTGCATCCCCTACACAAGAAAGAGAGACGGAGAGAAAAGAGTGGATGGGGGAGAGACCTAAATCAGGATTAAAACTAAGCTTAATGTGAATTGATTTATTACATGTGGACTCAATACTATGATTATTTCCAAAGTATTAAAGTATTTTCCCTTCTATTACATTTGAAATTATTATGAGATAAGAATATTTTAGAGAGGCACTGGGAGCCTTAATTAAATTTGGGGTGGGGGAGGCTTGCAAGGTGAATATCCCTGTTCTTAAGAGCAGACGGACGATCTACACTGGATGAAAATCAGAATATAGGCATAGAGTTCTATACATAATAAAGAAAAGAACACCAACATTGCTAAAATTATTTTGGCCTGGTGGATTGCACTGCTCCTGCAAGCAGTTAGTGAATTGTTTAATCCTAACTCTGAATATATAGAATAGCAAATGTATGCCATATACACATGGCAGTTTCTCCCAGATTCCAGGGTGGGCCAATCTAATGCAAATACTGATATACAGAGTTCCCTTTAGCTCCTCTTCAACAAAACTGGGATGCATGGCATTAGGATGCATGGTATGAAAGGCGATATACAAGTGTTGTTACAATATGTTGTTGCTGAAATGGCACCTGAATATTACAAGGTGGCTGAGACACAAAAAGACAAAATAAATAAGAAAATAAGTAAAGAAAGAAACATAGGGTTGGAAATTGGTTTATGAAATTTCAAAATAAAGTATGTAGAGACTTTATTGTTTTTGTTTTAGGTTATTATATTATAGTTAAGTAGCAGGATCCACTATAGGGCTGCAAAATGAGTCAATACAACTTTTGTATTTATGTTGCATATCCATACAAAGCCCATTACAATTATTTCTGTTAGACATCCCTCTATATATTAGAAACATACATTTTCATAAAGAAGTACATATGGATCTTTGAAATAAAGATCTGATTATCCCATCTGCATGCAGTTGGATACTACAGTTATCAATTTCCTTTAGAAAGTGCATATTGAAATGAAATTCTAAATTGCATTGCCAATATGTGAAACGTAGTTGATGGCCTTCTGGTTGCTCAGAAAGTTACCAATTCTTAGATCTACCTATTTTTTGCTGTATTTCAGAACAAGATTCCAATATGGTAAGAAACTGACCGAAATATCATTAGCCTAGTTACTGATTTCAGTTCAAGTGAAGAGCATCTTTGATGGGAAGCTAACTCTAATAGTGAGATTTCCATAAAAAACACTATCCAAGAATTGCTACTTCAAAAAGATGTGTAATCATAGTCAAGTTCTTTCACAGGAAAAATTGCATGTTAATAATCATTTTAATGTAACAGAAGCAAAAATTATTAAATACAGGGGAAGTGATTTAAATCTGATTTAAATGTATTTCCTTTCCCTCATTATTTTTTTAAATGGGTTATCTACTGACCTATTCAAGAACTGAATGGACTTCTTTGGTTTGAAAAAGCTTGCATTATTATGAGTTAAACAGAAAACATTCCTTTCAGGACCTCTTTTGTGATGTGTAGTCCCCCGGGGTGGACCTGACAATTTTCAACACAAACCAAGACATTCATTTATTTTGTAGTCATCTGAACAAACTGTGACTTGCTGGGAATACATACGAATTATTGAAACTAAACACTTCTCGCAAAAGAAAAAAAGAGAGTATCTCTCTTTCCAAGTCCTGTGCTTAATTATAGTCCTAACAATAAATCCTAGCTTGGTACTAGATGTGTAAAGTAAGCCACAAAGAATTTAGAGTTTGGAGGTATAATTAATGCATATAAATAAACAGTGATACATTACTTTGATATTATAATTGATTACTATTTTTAGGCATTTAGAAGTGTCAGGATAGAAACTGAAATAATTCTAAAAGGAAAGACCAAAAGTTTCTTTTAAAGAAATTATACAAAATAGTTCTTGAAAAACATTTCATTAACTGGTGCTATAAAAAATACAGTATCTTGACATGCACTTTTGTTAAAGAGTTTGCTTAGTAATTTTCTCCTTTCTATTAAAGAAAAAGTAGTTTCTAACAACTGTAAGGTTCAGCCAAAGATACAAATATATTCAACAATAAAGTATATAGGAAATTCCATTAAAATCTTATTATTTATTCAGAAGAGGGAGCTTCAGACTTTAGATATGTATAGCACCTTTCTGCTTTTAATGTAGCAGCCTATCTTGTTTTAATACTTCTGTGTGAGCCTTGAAAAACTTAATCTGCTTTAAGATTTTTATACTTTTTAAATAGAGGTACCCTTTTTTCAGGCTTATACTGAAAGTTGAAAAGTATGTACTGGTATGTTTTTGAACAACTAGGAGTGAGATTCTGTTTTTGTGCTAATTAAGAGTTATATGGTTTAACAGTAACAGGTTTTTTGTTTATTGAAAATGTCATAACATTTACAACTTGCTGGAGAAAATCTGTAAAAATCACTGTAAATTTCATTTGCATACCTATTATTGTATTATTGTGATGACTGCAGGTTCCTCACAGTAAGTTATAAGAAACCATTTATAATTTCTTTGCCAATTATAATTAGATTACAACATTTCTTATATTTTTAAGAGGTGGATAGGGGGAAACCACAGATTGAGTAAAGCACAATGAATTATCTTTGCTTTTGTTTATGACAAAAGAAAAGAAAAATCACTTTTGACTTCAGTAATTTAAAAACAATTTAGGATATGGTTTTATAGATTCCTGTACCAGTGTTTTTAAGGCCAAAATATTTCTGTTAGATGAATGGATTTTAAATCTGCTTTCTCTTTTTTTAAAGCCCATGTATTCAATAGTTTTATAGTAGAGTCAACAAACTGGAATTCATAAGATTAAATTATGCACCAATAAGAACAAGGAAAAAAGCAGCAGCAATTTAAATACTGGAATGAAATTCTTATTACATGCTATTGTATTGTTTTGCTTGGTTTTGATTATGATTAGTATAGTAGTAGTAGTACAAAGCACAGCCCATTTTTGTTATTATTTCATGTGCAGTAGCATTTCATGTTATTTTTGTTATCTTAGCATGGTTAACTCATTTCCCTTCATTCTCTTTTTATTGGACAATTAGTAGTTTTCAATTTCCTAAAAGAAAGGTAAAAATATGCTTCTTGTCTCAGAATTCTACTACAGTATTTCCACCTGGATGGGATGTGGTACATTATATGTTATTATTGTGATAATCCCATTTATTTGTGATACACAAATTAAATAGAAAGTGGAAAATATTTACTATGCTATAGAGTTCATAAATCATATTTAACACTAATTTATTTATAGACTAAATTAAAATTATGCTGAATTTTTGACTACCACACTTGCATTGTTTGATTTACCCATTACTTTATAAATATGACCAATAACTAAAAATATTCAATCTCCCTTGTCTACTAAATCATCTATGATAATAAAAGCCTAGTATGATAACTTTTATCTGAATGTTAAATGCAGAATAGTTTGCACATTTTGAATAGAATATTACACCTGTGTAAGTACAATGTTTTACTACCTAGGTTGAACTTGTATTGTTTCTGCAACAGACATTGATAAAGGGAAATGTTCTCACCTAAAATTGCAGTTGGCACAAATGGATCTGTCATACATCATAAGCAGGTCAATGCAGAAAAGGTAAAAAGAGAAAGAAAAGTAAATAACGAGCAAATGTTCCAAATTTTTTTTTGGTCAGAAAGCCATGAGTTATAAGCAATAGAGATTTTACACTTTGAAAGTAGTTTTGCAGAAGTGCGATTGCAACATCTTTATTTGCTATAGCAGCCCAAGTTTTTCAGGGTTCTCCATAAAGAAAAGAAGAAAACAAGTTGGTTACTTTAAGAGTCACCATGGTTTAAAAATTAGATTCTTAAAGGAATGGCATCTTTTTGGAAGTTCATCCACATTGCTTTATGCTTTAGCTTTTAGTTAAAGTCTTCAAGTCTTCAAGCCAAGTCTGCAGTATTTTTTTAGAGTCACTTTCCAAAGTGTGAAAAACTCTAATAAGAAAGTTGTTATTTCATGCAAATGGTATTTAGCTCTTTTAAAAGGATTTTTATATATGGGCAATCACAAGAATATATTGTGATATTCATATATGTGTTTAAACTTTGGTCATGTTCAATATTTCATCTGTACTTAAAACACTGATAGTGGAGATATGATGGCTATATGTGTGCATAAGAGATACACTCAAGCTTCTTATTCTCTGTGGTAGCCATTACCCGCTATACTTCAAGGAAGTGAGTACTCTTCTGATTCTCTCTCTATAGCTGGCTGGGGGATTCTGGGCATTGAAGTCCACACATCTTAAAGTGACCAAGTTGAGAAACAGTGCTCTATAGAACATTGCCTAAATTAGGGAAACAGCTCACAGTTTCTAAGAGATTGTTATAAAAGTAAACTATTTACAGTATTTAGAAACCAATGAAATAGTTGGTTACCTGGATAATATGAATTGGGAACAGTTGTACTCAGGGTGTTTGTTTTCATTGTAAACGAAGAGGGCGATGATACAGCTGGAAAGAGAACTCTATGCAGTTAATCTAAACAAAATATTAGCAAACAATAGCTTATTTATATAACACCCCTAGATCATGAATCTTGTTAAATCTGATATGGAAAATGATATTGTGGAAATAAATGTTACATAAAAAATTAGCAAGAGCGTTTTTATAACTTGGCATTATTTTAATATTTTGTGTTTTCTTAGATATTGNGTAAAAAATTTTGAATCCCACCACTGATCAAAAGGCAGACTACATGTCTCCTTCTCCCTTCCCTCTCTAGCTATTTCTCTCTCACTTCATCCCAGCTGCCCTGGAAAAAGCCAGAGATAATAGCAGTGAAACAGAAATCAAATCAAACAAAAAAAAAACAGCCACAAACCTAACATGACCCAATTGATACAGGAAGTTAGTTTCCAATAATAACTATATAACAACCATGTTGTATAAAATAGCCCTGAGAAAAATGTCTCAATGTTCCAGATACTACCACAGCCTCACAAAACCAAATCGTGTAGTGGTTAATCTATTGTTTATTCAAAGCCACTGGCAGAAGTTAATAGACAGTTATAAACTAATTGAGTGTGTCTGTGTTATCTCCTCATTCATCTCACTTTTTCAATTTAGCTTTGTTAGTGTTCCATATGGTGCAGCATTCCTGCTGCTTGGATCAGCCACGCTCCACAAAAATGCCCTGCTAACAACAGGAAGCTAATAGTTGAACGGTTCCTCTAAATCTGTTTGACAAAGCTGACATTTAACACGCCATGTCACATTGTCAGTAATCTGCAATTTACCCGTAGGCAGACAGTGGATGCTCAATTTATTTACCTCTCATATTTAAGAGCATAATTAATATTGCATTCTGAAACAAAAATGAGAATTTGACAAAGATTGTAATTTAAATTGTCCATTATAGCATGAGCTAAAATAAAACATTTGCTATATGCATCATTGTAAAAATGATATGTATAGCTGTAATTTAATCTTTTAGACTTAATAACACAAACCAAATTCTGCTGTAAGTTTAATGAGTTAAAAAGCACAAATCCTTCTATTATTTTGTTCTTTGAACACTTTAAAGATCCCATTCAATATTATACATTATTGAGGGAGATTACCTAAATTATTATCATTCTAATTGGGTGCAATTTGCAGAGACACAACTAAAGCAATATCCATGCGATTTGTTACATTACCATGAAAATGATAAGAAAATAGAGCTTTACATAGTAGGATTTTTAAAAAACAAGACACTAAAATGGTTCCTTTACTAGGATAAACATTTTGCTCTCATGAAAGTGGAAATGGGAAGAAAATAAAACAAATTCTTTATGATAGATAATAATTCAGTTTACAACTTAATCAATGGTGATTAAGTGTTATCAGATGAAATAAATATATTATTTACAAAACCAAGTAATTTCACAACAAGAATTGACACAATAAAAAGCTTATTTATTTATTTCAGTGGGTAGTGCTTATTAGGTAAAACCTCTTGCATGATATAAAACCAGATACATCTTATCTAAAAAGTTAGGCAATTTACAGGTTTCTAATTAACTTGTGTTTTTGTACCAGCTACATATATATTCAGGGTAGATCTCAAGGCAAACAAGAGCTTTGCCACTGCAAACTACATTTTAAATCATATAATGCATCTCTTCCCCCTTAAACAGCACAATTTGCCCTCATGCCTGAATTCTGGAACAAATCATAATGAAGTACTGTTGTGTTTTACCAATCAGTTTGTGCTGGCTTGACTGACAGATTGAAGAGTTCTCTATTTCCTTACTTAGCAACCTCAAATCATAACTGCAATCACACTGCAAATAATGCAATATAGTATAATGAAAAACAACATATAGAATTAAATATATTTTCCCACTCTGCCGAGCCTCCAAGAAGCAATTCATGCCTACAATAATTCCAATGAGTCAAGATTTCTGTCTGCTAGGTATATATATATTTGTATATATATATGTATATATATACAAATGAAGTGTTCCATGCAAAATCAAGTAACAAAAGAGCTATATATAAACTACAATAGTAGTAGTTTAGTTAAACTACCTTTTGGAAAAACAAATGATTATTTAGATCTTTGTTTTAAACTGATTTGAACTAGATTTCTGGCTTCATAACTGATTAAATTTGTTATTATATAGAATAGCTCTAGGCAACCACACTTGTTTATTAAACATGGAAGACCTTGGTAAAAATTGCTCCTCCTCACACCCCACACATCCCCAGGCATGTTGTGTTATGTACAGGAAGAGAACATCTGAAACAGAGAGAGAGAATTAAGTTTTGGGAATGAATAGCCTAAAAATATTTTTTGAGTTCCTCTGAAGACACACCTCCAGAGAATACAGATTTGGCAAAGAGATTGCTCTTTTTCTCATAATCTCATGCTACTCATGTGGAGTTCTTGGCTAGCTCTCCATTAAACTTCAAGTTATTACTGACTTCAGACCATTTCAGATATCTTATGTGGGATTCTCCAAGGTAGAATGCTCTTCCAAAAGTGATCTCATCAGCCTGAAGTTCTAGAAGAGAAAGTAGCTCCTTTAATAATATAAAAAGCCGGTACATCTTGACTGGCCTAAGACTACAACCTAAAAGGACAGAAGACCAGAAGAAAAAAGGGATGGGGAATGAAAAGGCAACCAAGAAATTTAGCTACAACTCTTTCATAATTTTTACAATGACCAGAACATTTTTCAGGCATTTGGCTGAGTACATGAGAGCTTGAGACTGGATAAAGGACGAAGCACTAGCTACATATTGTACTTGAATGCAACTATATTTCCTTATGAACCAAAACCCTAATAAAGCAAGAAACCATATACACTTAATTGTACACTTTACTTGAAATGAGCTTGTGGTAATTATCTTTGGATTTCTTTGCTGACTCTTAAGGCCTGAGAGATTAGAAGATGTGACTTCATCACTTTCAAGCTTTTACATATTCAAGTGACTAGCTGAATAGAGTTGAAATAATTTCTGTTATCCTAAATCACTGAGAAAAACAAGCATTTTCTAAAATATTGTTTTGATAATTTGGACTATGGATTATTTTTAATTACTTCCTAAAAATCAACCAATTATTGATTGACTTGATTTTCTTTTACAACCAAAGACCAAAGGTATGCAACCAAAGACCAAAGGTATGCATGTTTAGTTCTGTTTCAAGTATATCAAGCTTTATAGTAATACAGACTTCATCTGGAAGGAAACCAGAATTGAAGTAATCCAATTGGAACTGAAATTAAGTGAAAATAAAGTAAATGTANGCAACCCACCACTGATACAGATACTAGATATGTTAATAACTGATTCAGCTTCATTAAGTGCAGGGCAAAAAACCCCATTGAAATATGGGAAAAGCAGGAAAAAGAAACAGTGAGTTTAAATAGCTGTTAGTATCAGAGGCAAACTGTACTCTCACAACTGTCTGAGGATAGTCAATGATCAATAGGCTTAGTTCTAAAATTTCTTATCTAGTTGTGCCATATTATGTGTCTGAGAGACAAGTTTGAGTCTAATAGCCAAGTTAAGCTGCGTGAAGTTGAGGGGCTAAGATTTATTGCTGAACCCTGCTTTGGTAGACTGAAGCTAAGGCTGCCAAGATGAGAAAAATCTGTTCAGTTATATTAAGAGAATAAATCTGAAAATAAAACAGACCCCCCCCCCACACAAAAAGCTATATAAAGTCCTTACTAAGACTGAAAATATTTAAGACTCAAGTCTGTTTTTTTTCTTCTACCACATTAAAATTGTGATTTTTGTGGATAGTTTCTGAAAATTAAAGCATGTTCAATGCTCTGAAGAACCTTGGAGCTGAAGGTTTATTTATTTGTAAGGTTTATATAATATTGTCAATCTGATCAGCTTTTAATGGTATATTTCAGAGCATCAGTAACAATGGGTGGAATGAAATTTTACTGAACATAATGACAGTGTTTCAGGGGAAGACTGTGAGAACTATCAATCAAATGGTATTATACAGATATGTTTGCACAGTTGATAAACTGAAATTTTCTACCTTTCTTGCATGGAAAACAGCACTATACATTAGAAGCAGAAATAATGATAATCATTAATGTGGAGGATTTTGAGAGTGGTTTGGATACATCCATGGAGGACGGATCTATCAAGTGTTCTCACTCAAGGTTGAATGTCACCTTGATGGGGACAATATACAAGATAACAATGATTGGAAAGCAATCAATCAGAATGCCAGAAAGTCTGTTGGTCACTTTGAGAGTCATAATATTAGATTAAGATAGTCGTCAGCTTGACCCAGCTTGTGTTTTTCAGGTCATACTTCCTGTTATCTCAGGTGGAGATTTTCTCACCATCTTCTGACCCTTATAACCGAAGGTTCTGGAATCCAAATATGTTCTCCACCCAAAGCACATATTGTACTTGAGCCGCCGGTTCTTTTTCTTAGCTATGATTCATTGCTCATAAACCGATTTTCCACTTTCTATATTATAAATTTCTGCCCTGCAGTAAAATATCCCTCATGTGTCTACTCAAATATTTCAACTATGGGTTAAGAGGAAATGTTCTTTTTGTGGTCTTAGTAATTATAGCAAGAATGGAACTTCCAATTTTGTGTGAATATATAAAGCAGGGCTTATAATTGCAACTATTATTCCTTTTCTTCTATGTAATGATCATATAATTTTCTTTGCAAAGTTTGAACTTAGGAACAGATCCAAATAAACAAGTTTAGTACATATCAGTGGGATGTCTGAGGCATGTCAGTATACTGAGTATCTTTAAACCACTGTCAGATCAAACGTGGCAACAACTGACCCAATTTCTTTTTCCCACTCCACACATTCACTGAATGTGGAAAGAAGTTTAGTTGTCTGTATTATTATGAAACTGAAAAACCAATAACATTCCCCCAATATTCCATATTCCTTCAGAGTTCTCTATCTATTATGTTTTGACCTTTCAAAGATGCTTCTCTCAAAAGGCCCTGTTCATTTTTAGTATGAAGCTTCATATAGTTCA